AAGGCTAACCACTTGCTGAGAGAAGTGTACAAAAGCAAGGTGGTTATGTTGATAGAACATGAGATTGTCCTAAGCTGGAGTTGCTGAGCCCAGCTAGTCTGGGCACCACATTTTGGTGAGGATGTGAAGGCAAAGGAGAGAGTTCAGAAAAAAACCATTAGAATGGTTCTCAAGATGAGAAACTTAAGTTATGAAGGACCATTTCTGTTGAAGAGTAGAAGGCTGAACAGAGATTTAATAGATGCACTGAGCAATCCAACCAAAATAGATAGGAAGAAACTTCCCATTTGTGAAGAGATAGAGAACATAATGACGTAGTTTTACAGTAATTAGTAAAAGAAACAAAAGCAATGAGATTTTTTTCACATGATGAGTGGTTCTGGTGTAAGGTGTGCTAACTGAGATTGTAACAAAGGCAGATTTAGTTGAAGCATTCACAGGAGAATTAGACTATTATCTGAAAAGGAAGAATATACAGGGTTTCAGACAGAAGACCAGGAAATGGCACTAAGTGAATATCCCATTCGGAGACCTGGCAGAGGCATGATGGGTCAAACTGCCCTATAATTTGTCAAATTATGTGAAGAAATACTTGCATTCGAACAGCACCTTTCATTATCTCAGGACATTCCAAAGCACTTTTTAGCCATTGAAATATTTTAAACAATTGTCACTCTAATAATATAGGGAATTGCAGTAACCAATTGTTCACAGGACAAACCCACAAGGATAATTTGATAATGACCACATAATTCATTGTTGCTATGGGAATAAATACAGCCCTGGGCACTGGGGAGAAATGCCACTGCTTTTCATCAAATTGTCACACAGGGTGTTTTCACATTGATCTGAATGCACTTGAGAGCACACAGTGAGAGGAAGTCTTGCCTTAGTGTCTCAGTTAAAAGGCAGCACCTTCAACTGTGCAGCACTAACGCAGTACTGCAATTGGAGTTTCAGCCCAGAATTTATTCTCCACTTTCTGGATGAGGACTTGAACTCAAGACATTCTGCCTCATCCACAACTTGTGCTCCAATTGAATATTAGTAGCAGGAGTATTCAACACCATAAGTCTGCTCTGCCCGTCCATTAAATCATGGCTGGTCTGCACCTCAATTGCATTTGTCTGCCTTGCTCCACATTCTTTACCACTTACCCAACAAAAATCTACTGATATCTGTCATGGACACCTCCAGCAGCCACAGAATTTTGGTGGATAATGTTCTGATTTATGCCGATTTTTCCATTTTTAATACACATCTAAATGTTCTTGCAATTAATACACATAACAATCGCACTGTGTTAAAGAAAGATAGCCTAGAATTTACCACTTCAAACAACACTTTGGTGCCTTGTTGAGTTGTATGCTACTTGCAAAGACACTAATAGCAGCAATTCCAAGAGGTTTTGACAAAATCTGTACAAATACTTTATTGCAGGTTTTTAAACTAAGTATTTACGATGTTTTGTAATTATAAAACAATAATTAGTGCACACTGCAAAATGGCAGAACTTGAAGGATTCTTTCATTGTCAAACATTGAAAAAACATTCATTGGGGAAACTGACTGTTTACATGTTCTCCTGATAGATCCACACAATCTGAAAGAAAATGAGGAGAATTTTCTTCTATGTATTTTCATTAAGGAAATATGGAAATCAATGATGTAAACTGTATTGTAATGAAGATTTTACAAAGTTTTGTTTTTGAACAGAAACGATCTTCTCAAGCTTTAGAAAAACACAGTTGTTGCATATATATATTTCAAACCCTATATTAAAAACTTTACATTTGCAAAGATCTCCAGTTATTATTTTACCATTGAAAACCCTTTTGTCCATATTTATACTGGAAAATGTAGCAATACCACATATGGTAGTGTATAGAATAGTTTTACATAGGGAAGGAAAAATAATAGAGCTTGCATTTATATAGCATTTATACAATGTTAGAACATTCCAAAGTTCTCACGGGCAATAGAATACTTTTGAATTGTCATCACTGAAGATATGACAGCTAATCCATGCACAACACGCCCCCGTAATCAGCAATGTAATAATGAGTTCATACTTGATTTTAGTGAACTTGTTCCAGGGATAATTGTTGACTTGGACTTGGACACCAACTCCCCTGTTTTTCTTTGAAGTATTACTATGAGATCATTTACATTTACCTG